CAGGCTCAATTCAAACTGTGCTGGCTATGACCTATTAAGCACTATACAGCCTAGGTCCAGGCTATCTGATAGAGCATATTCACTCATGTCAACGTGCCCAGGTTCTGAGATTTTTGGGAGGCTTTTGCCCTAGTCTCAGTCCCACCACCCTCACAGGTCCACTTGGTGGGGATGTGGACAGGGCCTTCTTGGTGTCTGCTCCCAGACTTTTTATTGTAATGGTGGGTGGGTGTAGAATCATAGAACTGTAGAGCTGTAAGAAATCCCTGAGGATCATCTAGTCCAACCCCCTGCAATGCAGTAATCTCAGCTAAAACATCCATATTCTACTGATGTTTAAATGTGTGCGTTTCTTTTAAAAATGATTGCTTTTCCCTGTATTTTTAGCTGCTTCTATTTTAGCAGTAAGACACCTGTCAGGGAAAGAGGCAGGATATAAATAAATATAACAACAGCAACAACAGGAGCAGCCTGTTCAAAGTCACCCGCAAGCATATGATTTACACAAATGCTATCCATGAACATTCCCAGTGGTGCATTTTGGTGGCACAAAGTGGCCTCCTTGGTTTTGGCATATCTAAGGCTGTGGTGGAGAAGAACATCAGTGGCCCTCCAAAGGCCACGGGCAATGGGAACTGTCTTCGAGCAACATCTGGAAGGGCACAGCAGTTCTGAACTCTAGAAAAAGCACCCTTCTTTGCTAGTAGTGCCTCATATTGAATCAGCAGCCATTTGTTCATCTACCGCAGTGCTGTCTACACAGACTGGCAGCAGCTCTCCAGGGGTTCAAGCAGCAGATCCTACCTGGGGATGCTGGGACTTGAACCTGAGACCTTCTGCATGCAAAGCAAATGCTCTGCCACTCAGCTTCTGTGGCCCATTCTCAGGTAGCCTTGAGAAACATCACAGCAAGACTGAGCTGTGAATCCAGAAGGATCCACTCAAGCCTCACCTCCATTATAAACTTGAAAAAGCTGAGACCCCAGGAGCCTCGCCTGGAAAAAAGCCCTGTCGGCAGGACTTAGCCTCTATACAGAGGACTGTTCTATTTATATGTTGGGGGGCAGGTATAAGAACACGGGCCTACCTCACAGGGTCGTTGTAAGGATAAGACCTCAGAGATTTGTCCTTCTTCTATAGCAGGGCAGTACTGATCTTACGCAGTGCCTTACAATCCATTTTATTCTCACAGACGCCTCAGCTCAGTAGCAGAGCAAAAGGTCCCAGGTTCAGCCTTGGCATCTCTATGCAGGGATGGAATAAGACTCCTTGGACGGCCATTTAGCATGCAGACAGTAATGAACTAGATAGACAAAGGACCAAACTCCACAGAAATCAGCTTCTAAAACCCCTAAATAGTAGGTTGTACTGGCACAGAACAAGAAGGGAATGCACAGAGACCGATCCAAAGTGCTTGGCGAAGTAGGGATTCAAACCCAGTCCTCCTCAGCTTTAAAGGAACTGGGCTGTAAGTGAGGAGAGAGACGCCCTGGAGGGTCACTGCCAGTCAAAGAAGACTGGGAAGTGCGGGAGAGCTAAATAGCAGGCTGACCCTGCGTAAGGCCTCTTCCTTCATTCTCCCTTCAGAGGGACAGCAGTGCATGCACATCTTCCCAGGGTCAATCTAGCAGAATATCAGCTGGGGAAGACCTCTTTCTGGCAGAGATCCTGGAGAGTTGCTGATTGGCTGCCACCAGTCAGCAAAGACCAACCAGGTGTCATCCAGATATTGGTAAGCTAAAACTCCCATCATCCTTGACCTGGGGTTGAATGGAAGTGTAATCTGGAGAGCAGGGAGGCTGGCACACAGTCCTGGGCTAGATGGGACAGTTAAAACAGGGTCCTTTATGCAGGACGCCATCCCCTAGTAACAGCTGGCTGAGCATACACTATACCTTTAAAGCACATTCAATACACATTTTTGACCCCTCACTGCAACCTGTTAAAAGTTGCTGGGAACTGTAACTGTGAGAGGTAAAACTACAGTGCCCAGAATTCTTTTTAGGAATAGGATTTGTTCTGAAGGAGCTTTAAAAGTACGGAACAATGCATGCAGCCTCTCTTGATTCTTAAGGGGGGGGGGAATCAACACCTCTCTTTCCCACCTCTCCTCCCTAGGAAGTGTTGCTAATAACTCTCTTCTAAAGGGCAAGAGGCAAAAGTCAGGATGCCTATTTATAAAGCCTGGTGGGGTCCAAATGTAAAACCAGAGAAAGGCCAAGAACTTCCTGCAGAGAGAGTCTCACATTTCGGCAAGAAGTCCTCCAAAATTCATTGGCCAGTTAAAGTGATGCTCTCCCAAGGGGGTGACGGCAGCTTGGGGTGTGGGGGGCTGCCTAGCTGCACAATCTGGCAAGCAGCAAACAAGTTAAATGTGGCTTTTGCAATGTGACAAAAATACAGAGGGCATGTTAATTGCTTTCATTTAAAGATAAATACATCGGGGGGGGGGGCAGGGCATGCAGGGCTGGATGAGTATCACCAAGTGCCATCCAAGGAAGCCAAATGTCAGAAGACTCCTTCACAAAACAGTTTTACTCTAGAACTCCCTCCCACAAGATGTAGCAATGGGCACCAGGGATGCCAACTTGAATATTTGGGGGGACAGGTAAGCCCTGCCCCACATAATTGTTCACACGACGCAGCATATAAACACCATTTGAATGACAATGCCTATTTATTGGGGGGGCTCAAATATTTTACGGGGGGGGGGAAGACCCTTCAACCCCCAGGAGTTGGCTCCTATGATGGCCACCAACTTGGATGACTTTAAAAGAGGACTGGACAAGTTCCTGGAGGAGGCAGAGGAGGCAATTTGTGGCTTAGTGTCAGTGGTTAGATTCTTCACTCCACTGTTGGAGGCAGTATTACTTCTGACTCCCAGTTGCTGGGGGCTGTTAGTGGGGAGGGGGCTGTTTCCCTTGGGTCCCGCTTGCAGGCTATTTCCCACAGGGTCATCTGCTTGGCAGGGTGCTAGCCTAGTTGGGCCCCTTTGGCCTGACCATGTTGGCCAGGCTCTTCGTAAGTTTTTCTTCACCATCCTTCTTGGCATCCTGGCTATTCCAGGCCATTATCAATTTTCATCAACTGCCTGAAACGCAGGTCAAGGCAATGGCCAAGGTGACCAGCCATGTCTCCTCTTTATGGTTTGTCTACCGAAACTACTTAGGAGTTACTGAATTCTTTCTTTTTGCTACGACAAAAAAAGCAGCGGGGGGGGGGTAGGAATACTGTGTGGCCTTCTCAATGGCAGAGGCTTCTCAATTGCCAAGGAAATGTAAATGCAGTCTACCTTCTTTCCCACCAATCCCGAGTTCAGCTCCCTTGCTAGAAACTCCACCCCACTGCAAGAGGGGGGGGGGAGAGAAGAGAGCAACAGCCACATGGTTTGGGAGGCATCAATTGTTGCGAATTCCATCAGCAAATTCCTCCACGGTTTGCCTGAATTCATTTAGTAGATCCGAAGGGGGGCTGGGGGAGAGAGACGGGAGGTGATTTCCTCACCAAATAATCTCTCTTCACCCCTCCGCTTTTCAGCTGCTCCGAAACTGAAGTTGTTTAAAGAAAGAATGAGATGGCTGCAATCCAGGGCTCTCTTGAAAAGTGAGTTTGGAAAACTCAGGAACCCAGATTACAATTAAATTGTAATTGTGTGCGTTTGTTTGTGTGTGTGTGTTGGGGGGTTGCAATAAAAGGCTACAGCTTTTTGCCAATTTGTTCACTGGAGATTTCCCCCTCAGCTCTCCCCACACGGCCGCCGCCGCACGCCCCCAGCCTTACACAAGCAACAACTTGATAAAGAATGAGAGAGAAAGGGGGGCAAATTTTTCTCCTTCACACAAATCCCCATTCCCCAATTCTTTCTTTGGGGATACACGCGCCTACCTAGAAGTAAGTCCCACTGAGCTCCAGGAGGCTTACATGCAAGTAGACGCTCCTGGGATTGAGCTCCAAATCGAACTTCCACAGAAGAACGGCGTCGGGCTTGCAAGCCTTGTCCCAAGTTTGCAAAGGGGGAGGGGGCCCGGTATCGATGAGTTTGGGGTCCATTTCCCGCACCCACCCCAACGAGGCCCTGCTTTCCAAGGCAGTTCAGACAGCATGGGTTGCCAAATCAGAACTGTTTTTGACGTGGTTTTTTTTGGGTGGGGGAGCGAGTAAAGCCCCGGGGGTGTCCAAGGACAGCAGTTGCCGGCTGAAAGCTCTTGGCAAAACCTCGGGGAGAAGGGAGAGAAAAGCGACAGCCCCCCCCCCGAAAAGTCTTGGTAGAGTCGTGGAATATAATAAAATTAAACCCCGAGCCTACTCCAGAACTGACGACAAAGAAGGCTTCTATTTCCCCCACCCCGCTGAAAGTGACCCAAAGCCGGTCCCCCACGGCTACTCCACCCCCCTAACTCCCCGCCGCCCCTCACCGTTGATTTCGTGGCTGGGCGCCTCGCTCTGGCTGAAACCTTTGGCCACGTAGAGCTTCTTGACTTCGGAACAACTTCGCGAGCGCGGCTCGGCCGACGACGAGGCGGCGGCGGCGGCGAGAAGCAGCCAAAGGAGCGGCCGGCCCCAGGCGGCGGTGGCCGGGGGCCGGAGCCGTGGGCGGGCCAGCATGCTGGACGAAGGCGCGCGGGCTCCGGAGAGGAGAGGGCGCCGCTGGCCACACGGCCCGGCGGAGGACGCCCTGCCGCGCGCGGCGAGGCTCCCCACCGCGGCCGAGTCCTCGGCGGCTCCGCTGCGGAGAAGAAACTTTAGGCGCCTCGGAGGGAAAGACGCGGCGGCGGCGGCGGCGGCGGCAGAAACACCAGCCGGGACAGGCAGCGGCGGCGGCGGCGGCCCCCAGGAAAAGCAGGAGCAGCCCGGCGGGGCGGAGTGGAGCTGGAGCCCTGCCTTCGCCTCCGCCTCTCCAAGCGCGCGCGCGCCTCCCTCCGCGCGGGGAAGCCGGCAGGCGCGCTCGGGGGCGGGATGGGAGTGCGGAGAGGGGGCAGTGAATGGGTGGGCTGGCCCCAATCGCGAATCTCCCTCCCTCCGCCCCTGCCCATAATGAAGATAAGAGAGAAGCGGCTGAGAGTTCGCAGGGGCTCTTTTTTAAAAAATAAAATAGATTGCAGCGCGGGTCTCGCTTCCATTCCCTAGGGTGCCCCTCCCTTCCAAAAGCAGATTTTTGGCCGCTGCTACGATCCTGGCAAGCCGCACGCCCCTCCCCCTCCGCCTGCGCCAGAAGGGAGACCCATTGAGTTCAATGAGAGCCTAAGGAACAGGTGAGGGGTGCGTGGGTGGGTGTTTGCCGGCGCGCCGTAGGCTGCAAAAATCTTCCATGCGCTTCCTCGCGAGTAAGCCTTCCTGGGACTTGTTTCCGAAGCCACGTGCATAGAATGGCTCTGACGGAGGCGGGGAAAAGTGTGCCGTTGCTCACCTGGGGGCAAGTCCTGTTGAAAACAACTGGTCTTACTTTTGAGCAGACGTGCGAGGGGAGAATGGAGCGGGCACCGTTAAACCCTGAAAGTAGGCGGAGGGTTGGATCCGCGCAGCCTGTTCCTGGTGAGGTGTTTGCAGAAGGAAGCCTGAATGAAGTCGACGCGGGGGGGGGGTCGTTTTCAGGTAGTAGGGTAGCCGCTCCCTACACCAAGAAGTCTTATTACAATGACAGAAAAGAAAATGAGCATTTATTGACACCACCAGCAGCTAAACATGTATCCTGCAACATGTTTAGGTTACAATTCTGTTTATTTCCTTTCGTGTTGGTTCCATGGCAGGCTGCCATCGAGCTTGCTTCATTACAGCTAAGTGACATTATGGAACCCGGGAGAGCAGAGTTCAAATCCCTGCTCAACCAGGAAGCTCACTGGGCGACCTTGGACCAGTGTCTGAGCCTGACCTTCCTCACAGGTTGTTGTGAGGATAGAATGAGGAGGAGGAGCTATAAATGCAATAAATAAAATTATTACCATTATTATTACCATCCAGCCTTCACTAGCACATCCCAAAGCAGGTTACATCATTATATTCAGAATTAAGGACAGTTAAAACAGAGTTCAGTCCCAGGAATAAGGTGGGCCCTGAAAACACACATCTCAGACTACAGGTAACCGGAAATAAACTATTGCATCCCTTGGGACTTACTTCTGTGGAAACACATAATGCACAGGGCTGTACACTACAGTGGTACCTTGGGTTACAGACGCTTCAGGTTACATACACTTCAAGTTACAGACACCACTAACCCAGAAATATTACCTCAGGTTAAGAACTTTGCTTCAGGATGAGAACAGAAATTGTGCTCCGGTGGCGCGGCGGCAGCAGGAGGCCCCATTAGCTAAAGTGGTACCTCAGGTTAAGAACAGTTTCAGGTTAAGAACAGACCTCCAGAATTAACTAAGTTCTTAACCCGAGGTACCACTGTATTTGGTTCAAATTTATTAACTCACCTGTTTTTCACTCAGCTGTGTTTTGTAACAAGTTCATTTGTTTTTCAAACAGATTTGGCCCCATCTTTACCCTCTTGTGTGTGTGTGTTTTACTGGCAACTTTGACATTTTTGTGGTGCTGACACAACAGCTAAGGAACCAGATGCCTTTACAATAATAAACAGGTGTTACACTCAGTGGTGCGTCTTGTCTGTTATTTACTAACTCCATCAGATTTGCAATTCTACACTCCTTCTATTGGAGGCTTATTAGTTATTATTAAGAGGGAGGGGAAGATTCCTGGTACTCCCAACATTTCTTTGTTTTCCTGCAGGCCTGGGTTAAAAGTCAGTGACCCAAATGGATTTTGATGCAGATCTTTTCCGTGTGGCGATTTCTGATTGGCAGGTAAACCAATTCAAATTAATTGGTTGTCTTTGCACATGTGTATGCGTGCTTCCACAAACACACACACACACACACATACCCCAAGCATCAGTGGTGTTAGCATCTCATAGAATCATAGAGTTGGAATAGACCACAAGGGCCATCGAGTCCAACCCCCTGCCAAGCAGGAAACACCATCAGAGCACTCCTGACATATGGTTGTCAAGCCTCTGCTTAAAGACCTCCAAAGAAGGAGACTCCACCACACTCCCTGGCAGCAAATTCCACTGTCAAACAGCTCTTACTGTCAGGAAGTTCTTCCTAATGTTTAGGTGGAATCTTCTTTCTCCTGGAATCTCCTGGAGCCCCGCCTCTCTATCTTTAACCACACCCCTCCCATGACTGGCCATGCCCTTTTAAAAAAAGAAATAGATATAAACTTGCCTATAGCAATTTTAATAGAAAATCTACTGTCATGCCTAAACACATTTTCCTTCACTTTAAAGTTGCTATGATTCTATGATCTATTTCCTTACATTTTTAGAATTAAGGAGTAGCGATTTTTCCAAGGCATGGGGACAAAACACACACATTTTTCCCAGGCAAAAGGCTATCTTAAGAAATGTTGCAGCCCAAATGACACCCTTTCTCTCTCTTTTGAATAAATTTTATTAGGGTTTATAGAGAAAAATGCAAAACTTAATATCAAATATATTTTCTTCTTTTTTTTATCCGAACTTAAATACAATTGATTTAAATACAATAAAAATATAAAGAGAATGGAGGGAGAAATTATTAAAAACAGAGAAAGAGAGAAATAAAGAAAAATTAAAAAGAGGTTGAGAGAGAGAAAAATAAAATTCAGAAGGTAAGTCCACTGTATATAAACAAAATTCACTTCATCCACTCCAATGTTATACCCAACAAAGCCACATAAACAAACACCCTTTCTCCAAGTCAAGATGCAGAGCACCCCTGGCCAACTGGGCTTCTTTCGCTGAGACGACTAGAGCGCCGCCGGCAGATAACTCATTCTGAATCTGACTGGTCACGGGTTAGAGCTCAATGTCGAGCCTACCAAGCAGCGATAGCGACGGCAAAGAGGACTTTCTTCACCGCCTCTATTGCATCTGCAGAAAAAAGCAGCAGGAGACTTTTTCAGGTGGTTCGCAATTTAGCGGAACCACCTACTACATTGGGGCCCAGTATGGGCCACATGATCTCCTGCAATGATTTTTGCAAAGTTTTTTGCAGATAAAGTCACTCATATTCGGAAGGAGGTAGACACCACCATGGGAGCAGGGCTGGGGCGGGAGAGTGCTAGAGCTCTGTCTGGTCAAGTTGCGTGGGATCAGTTCCAATCTGTTACCTCCGAGGATGTGGGCAGGCTGCTTGGACGCGTGAAACCGACCACCTGTCTCCTTGATCCTTGCCCATCCTGGCTGATAAAAGCAAGCCGGGAAGGGCTGGGCGATGGGCTCTGCGGAGTGGTGAATGCTTCCCTCTGTGAGGGAGCCTTCCCAGACCCTCTGAAAGAGGCGGTCATTAAACCGCTTCTTAAAAAACTATCTTTAGATGCGGCCAATATGGCCAACTATCGCCCAGTCTCAAATCTTCCATTCTTGGGCAAGGTGACTGAGCGAGTGGTTGCTGAACAACTCCAAGCACGCCTGGAGGATGCGGACCATTTGGATCCCTTCCAGTCCACCTCACCATGGGACCGAAACTGCCTTGGTCACGCTGGTCGGTGATCTCTGGTGGGCTAGGGACAAAGGTGAGAGCTGTTTCCTAGTTCTGCTGGGTCTCTCAGCGGCTTTTGACACCATCAACCATAACATCCTTCTGGACCGTCTAGAGGGGCTGGGAGCTGGGGGCACTGTCATACAGTGGTTCTGCTCCTTTTTCCTGGGCCATGTTCAGAAAGTGGTGGTGGGGGATGAATGTTCAGACCCCTGGGCTCTCACTTATGGGGTGCCTCAGGGTTCTGTCCTCCACCCCATGCTTTTTAACATCTACATGCAGCTGCTGGGAGAGATCATCAGGGGGCTTGGGCTGGGTGTTCATCAGTATGCGGATGATACCCAGCTCTACTTCTCTTTCAAATCAGAAACAGTGAAGGCGGTGAAAGTCCTGTGTGAGTATCTGGAGGCAATTCGAGGATGGATGGCGGCTAAAAAATTGAGGTTGAATCCTGACAAGACAGAAGCACTGTTTTGGGGGGACAGGAGACGGGCGGGTGTGGAGGACTCCCTTGTCCTGAATGGGGTAACTGTGCCCCCTGAAGAACCAGGTGCGCAGCCTGGGAGTCATTTTGGACTCGCAGCTGTCCAAGGAGGTGCAGGTCAATTCTGTGTCCAGGGCAGCTGTTTACCAGCTCCATCTGGTACGCAGGCTGAGACCCTCCCAGCCCACAGACTGTCTCGCCAGAGTGGTGCATGCTCTAGTTATCTCTCGCTTGGACTACTGCAATGCGCTCTATGTGGGGCTACCTTTGAAGGTGACTCGGAAACTACAACTAATCCAGAATGCGGCAGCTAGACTGGTGACTGGGAGAGGCTGCCGAGACCACATAACACCAGTCCTGAAAGACCTACATTGGCTCCCAGTATGTTTCCGAGCACAATTCAAAGTGTTGCTGCTGACCTTTAAATGGCCTCAGGTCCTCTACCCCTAAACTGCCTCGGTCCAGTATACCCGAAGGAGCGTCTCCACCTGCCCAGTTCTGCCTGGACACTGAGGTCCAGTGCTGAGGGCCTTTTGGCGGTTCCCTCACTGCGAGAAGCCAAGTTACAGGGAACCACACAGAGGGCCTTATCAGTAGTGGCGCCTGCCCTGTGAAATGCCCTCCCACCAGATGTCAAAGAAATAAACAATTATTTCACATTTAGAAGACATCTGAAGGCAGCCTGGTTTAGGGAAGCTTTTAAAGTTTGATGGACTATTGTATTTTAATATTTTGTTGGAAGCCTCCCAGAGTGACTGGGCCAGATGGGCGGGGTATAAATAAATTATTATTATTATTATTATTATTATTATTATTATTATTATTATTATTCAAATGTGGCAGGAAGCCCATCAAGCACCACCTCCTGTCACTGGCAACAATGATAGAGTTAAACAACTAACCAAGCACCTTGTCTACCTGTTGGACCAGGCCTGCCTTGCACCTCTGACCCTAGGGGAGCGAGTGACGCTGTGATCTAGGCCACTGAGCCTCTTGGGTTTGCCAATCGTAAGGTTCTGTGGTTTGAATCCACACAATGGGGTGAGCTCCCGTTGCTCTGTCCCAGCTCCTGCCAACCTAGCAGTTCGAAAGCACACCAGTGCAAGTAGATAAATAGGTATCGCTGCAGCGGGAAGGTAAACAGCATTTCTGTGTGCTCTGGTTTCCATCACGGTGTCCGATTGTGCCAGAAGCGGCTTAATAATGCTGGTTGCGTGACCCGGAAAGCTGTCTGTGGCCAAAAATGTATAGATTGCTCTTGGAATGGCATGACCTGGAAAGCTGTCTGTGGACGCACACCAGCTCTCTCAGCCTAAAGCAAGATGAGCGCTGCACCCCTTAGTTGCCTTCGATTGGACTTAACCATCCAGGGGTCCTTTACCTTTTTACCTTTAACTGCACCTCTGACAGCCCAGCCCACCCCCCAATCCGACAAGTAAGCACTGCCCTCACATCCCTTGGCCACATTCTGGAACGTGCAAATCAAACTCATCAATTTCCCAAACCTTTTGAAGGTTTAGGGTGTCTGGCTATGCTGGCTCACCCTTCACCACTGCCAGAGAGGAACATCATAATGCAGTGGCTCAGGAAACAGGTAGGATCTTGCAAGTCTCTCCTCCTTGACTCTTCTGCCTTTAACTCATGAGTAAAGAGACCAACTGGTTAATAGAGGGCACTTTATCCCAGAGGAATCATAGAATCATAGAGTTGGAAGAGACCACAAGGGCCATCGAGTCCAACCCCCTGCCAAGCAGGAAACACCATCAGAGCACTCCTGACATATGGCTGTCAAGCCTCTGCTTAAAGATCTCCAAAGAAGGAGACTCCACCACACTCCTTGGCAGCAAATTCCACTGTCAAACAGCTCTTACTGTCAGGAAGTTCTTCCTAATGTTTAGGTGGAATCTTCTTTCTTGTAGTTTGGATCCATTGCTCCGTGTCCGCTTCTCTGGAGCAGCAGAAAACAACTTTTCTCCCTCCTCTATGTGACATCCTTTTATATATTTGAACATGGCTATCATATCACCCCTTAACCTCCTCTTCTCCAGGCTAAACATGCCCAGCTCCCTTAGCCGTTCCTCATAAGGCATCGTTTCCAGGCCTTTGACCATTTTGGTTGCCCTCCTCTGGACACGTTCCAGTTTGTCAGTGTCCTTCTTGAACTGTGGTGCCCAGAACTGGACACAGTACTCCAGGTACGTCTCTGTGCTGCCTGAAAAGAGCAGTTGTTGTTATGTGGGGCAAAGCTTCAGAAATCTGCTGAAACACCTTTGTCAGAGGAGGAAAAGGTACAGAGACTCTCCATACATAAGAAACTGCCTCCTAAAGAGTCAGACTGTCCTTCTAGCTAAGCATTGCCTACACTGGCTGGCAGCAGCTGTCCAGGTTTTCAGGCAGTGGGTCTCCCCCAGTCCTACTTGGAGACTTCTGCATGCTCAGCAGGTGCTCTACCATGGAGCTATAGCACCCCCCACTTCTCCCTCTCTCTTGTAAGCCAGATGTGACCCTCTAGAATAAGAGAACTGTAGAGCTGGAAGGGACCTTGAAGGTTATCCAGTCCAACTCCCTGCAATGACATTGCTGAACTCCAGCTCCCGTGGTCCCTGGTCACTGGCCATGCTGGCCGGGGCTAATGGGAGTTGGAGTCTAGAGGACCTCAGGTTCCCCACCGCTGCTCTAGCCCTGCCTATTCAGTCCCACTTCCCTTCCATCTCTGGCCACACTCTTTCTTAAGGAAACAGATATGAAGTCCCATTGAAGTAACATGTTTTGTAACATGCTTTGGCTGCCACTCTTCCTCTGGAAATGAAGGATAGGTCCCCCAACTCCCTTGGCAGACTAGATGCCATGCTCAATGCAATGCATATTTCCCCCAATGACTAATTGAATTCAAAGCAGCCATGGAGCAGAAGAATGTTCAGGGAAGAAGGGGAGGAGGATGCTTGTTAACTTCCATATCCAAACTATCCTCCCTCTCCAGCAGCCTTTCACCCTGCAGGGGGAAAGAGATGCAAGCCCATGGGGGAAAAGATGAATGCCCCTGAGCATCCTCACCTTGTGCTGCAAGACACAAAGAATACAGGTAACATTTTTAAACTTCTGGCATTTATACCGTGCGCCATTCCTCCCACAGCATCATTAAATCGATTGCTGACCACTTACCGTTTTCTCCTGGTTTGAGTATGGCCTTATGGGAAGGCCTTGGGCAAAGCACTAATTCCTGGCCTCAGTTTCTCAGCTGTGCAACCCTGGGCAGGGGGAGAGGAGCTGACTTGCCTCACAGGGTCGTTGTGATGTTGAAACAATGACTTATGTATCTGGGAATTTTTTTGCAAAGCGACAGAGACTTGGAAAAGTTTCCTCATTGTAGCTACACGTTGTGTCTTACAGTTTACTGATCAGGTCTGCACCTGTTTTGCTTTGGAGCAGCTGCTATTTTTCACAGGCTGTTCACTGAGCTCTGAGTGATACAGATGTTTTTTTTAAAAAAATATTATTTTCAGAAAAAGACAAGAATGCAAATCATAAAAGCAGTAACATGAGAGAAATTTCCAGGCCAGAACAACAAAACAAAGTAAAGGCAAACAGGATGTAAAACAAAGGTCTGGTTATTCTGCTTCTCTTCACAGGCTCCCAATGAAGCAGCAGAGAACTCCAAAGATACTGGGCACTGATCTCTTTGCTGTTAAAGATGCTAGAAACTCACATACCTTGCTGGTGAATCTGCAGATTCTCTGGTTGTCGCTGCTGGTTCTCAGTATTTTCTTTTCATTGTTACAGGGAAGTGATGGTGCCCATTTGATATCTTTTCAGGTATAACACACACAAATATTCTGAACAATATGGGTGAGAGGGGGGATATCCCATTTGTCCTCCAAGTCCACTGGTGCTTTTAAACTCTATTCGTGAAACGTAAGATGTGTGAAAGGCTTTAAAAACAAAACAATGCCTCACATTGGATCAGAAGTTGAAATCCTCCCCATTCATCTGACTGACTTGAACTGGTGCCACAGTGCAAGCATTGTTGTTACTGGTCAGTGACTTCCTAAATGAACAAGTTACGGTACTTTCGTCTTTTCTGCCCAAGTGATCAGATGATATTAAAACCTATGTGCAATTTGGCAGGAAGCAGGGAGAAAGCGAGAGAGCAGCAGTCACTAGCAAACCTAAACTATTTACCTTATGTCAGGTTCTGCCAGGGCTACAAAAAGCTGGTTTTCATGTCACCAGAACAACACTTGGTTTCTCTCTCCCCCCTCCCCGCTCCCCCACTCCTCCTCCCCATTTTGGAATTAACAAAGTAAACTGATCTTCCTGCAGAATGTGTCATACAATTAGGATTGGGATAAACAGGTTTCTCAGTATGGCCTCTGTGTCCTGGTGGGCTGAGGAGACAAAGGGACAAGGATGGGGAAGGTGGAGAGAGCAGGTTTCATCAAACAAAGCCTGCGTCTGTTTTCAGTGCCAGAGTCCAGATGCATGTATGAAATGGGGCGCTTCTTCTGGGATCAGATAGAACTCATGGGCATCCAATGAAGCTGAATGCTGAAAGTCTCAGGACAAGGAAAATAAGGTCCTTCTCCACACAGTGCATGTTTAAACTTTGGAACTCACTGCAGTGATAGCCACAAACTTGGATGGCTTTAAAGTGGATTGGACAAGATAATGGAGGCTGCCAATGGCTACTAGCCACAGTGATTGGAGGCGGCAATGCTTCTGAATGCCAGTTGCTGGAAACCGCAGGAGGGAAGAGGGCTTTTGTCTTCGGGTGCTGCTTGCCAGTTTCCCACAAGGATCTGGGTGGCCACTGTGAGAACAGGATGCTAAAGAGAATATTCTTATAGGCAATGCATAGGAAGTATATACCAAGTTAGAACACTTGCTCATCTGGATCATTATGCTGTACTCTGACTGGCAGTGGCTGCCCAGGGTTTCAACTTGAGTCATTTTCAGCCCCAGCTAGAGATGCTTCTGGGGAAGGAAAGCAAAAGGAGGCCCTACCGCTGAGCTATGGTGCATATGCCAAATGTACCTTTCAGTGAGTCAGATGATTATCAGAGGATAGGTACTTATAGCAGCTATTACCAGGGCAGCTCAATGCCTTTATACTGAGATACACACACACACACACACACACACACACACAGAGAGAGAGAGAGAGAGAGAGAGAGAGACTGTCTAGCCACTGCTTGCTCCACTCACCCACCACACCTACCCCCTTGCAAACCACCCTTCCTCCACACCCAACCAAGCCCTAACAACTTGCCCAAAGTCCCACCCATTTTTTAAAGGAGGGGGGAGCAGTTTGCTAAGCTGCCTTGTAAAGTGTGTCCTCCCCCTGTTAAGCAGCTTGCCTATGGCGCCTGCCCCGTGCTGATTCCTTGCTTCTCTGCCTGTTTGCCTGCTGTTCATCACAGAACGTGCTGAGAACCTTACATTTCTATCTATATAGGAAGATATACTTGCAATTCAAGACAACACTTTGTGCATCTGATGAAGTGGACTATAGTCCATGGAAGTTTGTTGTGCTGTTGGTTTTTAAGGTGCAAAACAAACAAACAAACAAAAACAGCCTGCACACCCCCTCCATTGTTTTTTGCTGAAAGTAGACCTGCCATGGAATCCTTTCTGGAAGTTCCACCTACAGAAACACTGAACTGCTCTTGTGTACCAGGTCGTAAGAATAAACAACATGAAAGGGTGGCTGTCTTCATTCTGTTTGTGAGCTTTGCACAAGATGGGCTTTCACTTGGTATGATCCAGCGAAGCATTTGTGAAGAGGACATGCCAGTCTCTTGACCACCCTTTCATCAGATGGAGATGAAATTGGCACCAGGCTGCCTATCCGAAAGAATAAAGGAGCGGCCTCTGTCCAGTGGACAGCACATTCTTTTTCCCTTCAGGCAACTACACAATTAGTTACAACCCAGACCTATGCATGCTTACTGAGAAGCACCCATTAAGTTGAATTGGAGTTGCTCTAGGTTGTGGAATGGCTGTAGCACAGGATTAGAGCACCTGGTTTGCTTGCAGAAGGGCTTGGGTACAATCCATGGGATCTCCAGGCAGGATCCCCTGTCTGCCACTGCCAGTCAGTGCAGGGAATACTGAGCTTGATGGAGCAATGGTATGACTCTATAAGGCAGCTCCCTGCATTCCTATGTCTTAAGGGAAAGCCATCTGTTTTGCATGCAGAAGCTCCCTTGCTCAACTTCTGATGTCACCAAGTCAGGCTGGGAAAGACCCATAGCTGAATCCAGTACTGAGCTTAGTGAACTGATGCTCTGACTCCATATAACTGAGTATCCTCTGTTCCTAAAGGAAGGACTAAAGCTCAGTGAAAAAGCATCTGTAGGGTGGCCATATTTCAAGAAGTAAAAATCCAAACACCCACAAAGTTGTTGAGTTTTTCTTGGTTCCAGGGCAAACCACTGCCTTCCCCCTGGATGTCACTTCCACCTTTGAAATTCTGGTAGCACCCAGACATAGGGCAGCCACAGAGGTCCATGATTCAATCCCCAGGATCTCTACAGTTGCCCCTGTCTGAAACCCCGGAGAGCTGTTGGCAGTCACTAAACTAGAGTTAGTCACTGAATTAGTGGACCAATGCTTTGATGCAATATAAGGCAGTTTCTTAAGAACTGTAGACTCTGTGTGTATGTGCACACACAGTTTTCATGTCTGTACGGAAAACACATTTAAAAAACTTTGAGCCAGACATGCTGGTGGACACACAACCATAACCACAGCCCTGCACAGTCAGACTAAAGTAGGCCTGTTTTGCTCAGCATGCTGATACCTCAGAATGCCTCTGCAGGTGTGAACAAGAATTTGTAGGGTGCTAGGATTCCCCTTCTAATTTCTGGGTGTCAGATGCTGGATTTAGCATATTAAAATCCAACCCAGGAGTCAGCTTGCTAATGGCCTGCTAAAGATGGGTGCATTAGGGTGACAAAGGGATTGACTCTGTGCCAGACAACAAAGTTAGTTACAAAGACAAAGGCCTTTGAAGGAGAGTTTTAGTGTTTCTGCTGGGATGTGAGTTCAGGGAGAAGTGGCAGTCTGTAAAATGCAGTAAGCTGGAGCACAGGGCCAGACAGATGTCAATTTGAATCCAAGGCTGCAGCAAAGGAGAAACAAGAACCTTTTGTTGTTTTGATGCTGTGAGCCCCTCCATCATAGGCTCAGGTCGCATATATGTATAAATAAACCATATATCATAAAGACTCCACAGGCTCTGCTGTCCCTCATTTCCAAACGGAAACATGACCCTGGGTGAGTGCCTGGGAGCCCACTCAGAGACTGGGGTGGTGTGCAACAGGATGCTTCAACCCCACTGATACAAGCGGGTCTTAAGTGAGTTGTGATGCATTTGTTTTCAATAGGAATAAAACACAGCTCACCTTCTTTGAACTGGAGCCTCTGTGAGTATACATGCACTGGGAGACCTCTGACCAAAGTCATCCTAGGAAGGATTGGACTTTGATCTGGGCTGAATTTACTGCATGACCTTTGACATCTCTCTCAGTCTCAGTCCCCCACCTGCAAAATTGGGATAACTACACCAAAGGACCTTACAGAGTTGTTGCAAGGATTACTGAGATCAATGCATGCGAAGGACTCTGAACATGTCTTATTTACTGATAAGAAAATATATATGAGGCATAGTACCTGGTGTCAGAAGAGCACCAACTCTTTTTTAAATAAGGAACTAAAAACCACGAAGCAATTCAATACACATCTAAATCATCCCAGAGGGAAATGCCAAGGAGGAAACAGAACTTCACTAGAACAAATATTAATTAATTAATATTAATGATCACCAATAGTCAGCATGGATTTCTGAAAAATAAGTCATGTCAGACTAACCTGATCTCGTTTTTTTGACAGAATTACAAGCCTGGTAGATGAAGGGAACGCAGTGGATGTAGCCTACCTTGATTTCAGCAAGGCATTCGACAAGGTGCCCCATGATATTCTTGTAAAGAAGCTGGTAAAATGCGGTCTTGACTATGGTACCACTCAGTGGATTTGTAACTGGCTGACTGACCGAACCCAAAGGGTGCTCATCAATGGTTCCTCTTCATCCAGGAGAAGAGTGACTAGTGGGGTGCCACAGGGTTCTGTCTTGGGCCCGGTCTTATTCAACATCTTTATCAACGACTTGGATGATGGACTCAAGGGCATCCTGATCAAATTTGCAGATGACACCAAACTGGGAGGGGTGGCTAACACCCCAGAGGACAGGATCACACTTCAAAACGACCTTGACAGATTAGAGAACTCGGCCAAAACAAACAAGATGAATTTTAACAGGGAGAAATGTAAAGTATTGCACTTGGGCAAAAAAAATGAGAGGCACAAATACAAGATGGGTGACACCTGGCTTGAGAGCAGTACATGTGAAAAGGATCTAGGAGTCTTGGTTGACCACAAACTTGACATGAGCCAACAGTGTGACGCGGCAGCTAAAAAAGCCAATGCAATTCTGGGCTGCATCAATAGGAGTATAGCATCTAGATCAAGGGAAGTAATAGTGCCACTGTATTCTGCTCTGGTTAGACCTCACCTGGAGTACTATGTCCAGTTCTGGGCACCACAGTTCAAGAAGGACACTGACAAACTGGAACGTGTCCAGAGGAGGGCAACCAAAATGGTCAAAGGCCTGGAAACGATGCCTTATGAGGAACGGCTAAGGGAGCTGGGCATGTTTAGCCTGGAGAAGAGGAGGTTAAGGGGTGATATGATAGCCATGTTCAAATATATAAAAGGATGTCACATAGAGGAGGGAGAAAGGTTGTTTTCTGCTGCTCCAGAGAAGCGGACACGGAGCAATGGATCCAAACTACAAGAAAGAAGATTCCACCTAAACATTAGGAAGAACTTCCTGACAGTAAGAGCTGTTCGACAGTGGAATTTGCTGCCAAGGAGTGTGGTGGAGTCTCCTTCTTTGGAGGTCTTTAAGCAGAGGCTTGACAACCATATGTCAGGAGTGCTCTGATGGTGTTTCCTGCTTGGCAGGGGGTTGGACTCGATGGCCCTTGTGGTCTCTTCCAACTCTATGATTCTATGATTCTATGATTCTAATTTTACAATATGTCACCATAGGTGTTTTGGTAAACATTCCTCATTAGCTGTTCCTTTACAGCAGAGGACCAATCTGCAGGAATCAGCAAGCAAGCCCTTTCACACCATGGGCACAAGCACGGCCACCTGTTGCTTGCCACTGATCAGTTGGCTGTTAAGGCACAAGAGCAAGTTAGGCCTGATTCCCACCCCCACCCCCATGTAAGTTGGCAACCCTGCATAGAAAAATTTCCATCCTGGACAGCTTTGAATACCACCCAGTGCATACATATTCTGAACCCATTTGACCACTGTCTGCTCCCTGCAGCTTTCTGGGAAAGGCACTCCAGCAAATGGGTTTGAGTCCCTTGTTGGGCAAAGGATTCCTTCACTGCAGGGTGTTAAACTCAATAGCCCTCATTGTCCCTTCCAACTCCGCAGTTCTATGATTCTAAGAAATATTGGAAGTGACACAAAGCTGCACAGCACCTCCATATTTGTCTCTGCCACCACCCCTTTGGCCAGCCTCCCCCAACTCTCCTGCCCCACAGATGGTTACAACTGATGGGACGGCTGAAGTCCAAGCCATCCCAAGGGTACCAGTTTAGGGGAGGCTGTTGGAAGCCATCTCTTTTCAGAATGTCAGATATTTTTGCTTCTCCGTCATCTGCAGATTATGAAGATTCCCAACGCCT